GACGACATCGAATTAACTTGTAATAAGTAATTGACAGTTAATGTAAATTGAAGAAAGAATTATTACTCCTTATAGTGAAAGCCAAGATTCTTCGGATGTCACGATGCCGATACCCCTTCTAACAACAAAAGCAACAATTCTTATGGATACATGAAGTGTCCGGACAATATGGGAGACCGGAACGACAAGTCAAATAGCTGCAGAAATGAGAACATACAGCTTGACGGTTTTCGGAATCCGTGCAACTCATTGTATCCAAGCTGGACAGCAGAGGTTGGGTACAGGAGGGATGTTGTTGTACTCCGATCACGCAGAAGAAAATGTTCCACACACTAAAGGAGTTACTCTGATACTGTCCGAAGAAGCACCAAGTGTACTTATACGATAGGAATCTCACGGATTCAATATCATCAAAGCTTCAGATCACCATCTATCTGGTGATTGCCAAGATGAAACTTGAGCTAACGAAGCAATGGACAACTGGACAAACAGCATTACAAAGGTTCAATACAGTCTTCCTTCGACATACTGACAAATTCAACGAATTCAATATAGATCTCAACAACAGGTTCAACGCCTTACAAGATCCACTCGAAGAAGAGAATAATACTATGAAAGACAAGTGGAAAGGTATCAAAGATGCACTAACTTCAACGTGTCAGGAGGTTCTGGGCCGCAAGAAGCATCATCATAAGGAATGAATCTCTATGGAAACCCTGGACAAGGTTCAAGAAAGGAAGAACAGAAAGACAGCAATCAACAACAGTGGGACAAGAACAGAGAAAGCCAATGCACATGGTGAATACTTAAAATTAAACAAGAGAGTGGAGAGGAGCATTAGAGCTGACAAACAGAAATACGTGGAAGACGAAGCAATGACAGCGGAAAAAGCTACAAGAGAAGGGAATGTGCAACAATTATGTGACACAACGAAGAAACTGGTAGGGAAATAGAGCGAAGTAGAGATATTGAAGAACAGCGGGACGGATGGGTAAAGCACTTTGAAGAAACTCTTGAATGGACCAGCTCCACTGAACCACGACCGGACATCGAAGCAACACACAGAGATATTCCCATAGATGTTATCGAACCAACAATCGAAGAAAACATCATGATCATCAGGCAAGTCAAGAGTGGGAAAGCAGCAGAACCAGACAACATACCATCCGAAGCAGTAAGGTCAGACATAGAAGTGACTGCATGCATGCTCCATGTCCTATTCAGGAAGATTTAAGAGAAAGAACAAGTGACGACAAACTGGAATGAACGATATCTCATTAAGATAACAAATAAGCGAGATCCGAGCATGTGTGAGAACTACAGAGGCATCACACTACTATCTGTGACATGAAAAGTTTTCAACCAAGTTTTGTAGAACTGAATGAACGATTCAATGAACACCGAACTTCGAGGTCAACAGACCGGATTCCGTAAGGATCAGTTGTGTACGGACCAAATGGCAACACTACTGATTATCGTTGAACAGTCACTTGAATGGAAATCATCACTGGACACCAACTTCTTTGATTATGGGCAAGCGTTTGAGTGTGGATAGAGGAACTTAGTGAAACCTTCTTCGACAGTATGGTGTATCTGGGGAGATCGTCCACATCATAGGGATTTCATACAACGGACTACACTGGAAAGTGTTGCATGGGGGACAGCTGACAGAATCGTTCCGAGTGAGAACCGGAGTCAGACAAAGCTGCCTACTCCCACCCTTTCTCTTTCTTCTGTTGATTGACTGGATTACGAAGACCTCGACATCTGAGGGAAAGCATGGAGTACAATGAACAGCTTGCATGCAACTAGACGACTTGGAATTCGCAGATGACCTGGCCCTTCTATCCCATACACACCAACAAATACAGGTCAAGAGAAACAGTGTAGCAGAAGCCTCTGCTTGAGTAAGCCTCAACATACACAGAGGAAAACGCAATATCCTAAAATATAACACAAAGAGCACCATCTCGATCACACTTAATGAAGAAGCACTGGAAACTTTCGCGTACCTGTCCAGCTTTATCGATGAACAAGGCGGATCAGATGCAGACGTGAAGGTGAGTTTTGGCTCAACAAGGGCTACATTTCTACAACAGAAGAACATGTGGAACTCAAGACAACTGTCTGCAAGCCAACATCAAATTCAGAATCTTCAATACGAACGTCATGAAAGTCAGTTCTACTGTACGGAGCTGAAACTTGGAGAACTATTACAACCATTATCAATAATGTAAAAGTATTTATAAACAATTGTTTACTCAAGATACTCAATGTCCGTTGGCAGGATACCATTAGCTACATCCTACTGTGGCTGTTTTATGAATAAAATACATTTTTATTTAGGATATGTGAACGGTTTGATAATCTTATACCAATCAATATTAATAAAGATAATCCTTGGAAAGTGCATTGATTTACCTGCAGAGAGTCACGAGTAATATCAAGTCACGTGTACGCCTTACAGAGGTGTGGATTATTATACCGGGATGAATATCAGAAAGATTTATACTTTTTGAATTACTTCTAAGATTATTATTTCTATCACTTTTTTTATAGTTTTAGAATAGCTACATTATTGAATTTCTATATCTGCCTTATTGTAAGCTTCCAGTGAACTTGTTAACTATTGTTATGCGTTTTACTACTCCTTAATTATTTCTAATTAATCATGTACTGCTTGATTTCCTCTCTCTTATGGCATGATTATATTCAAAGAACAATTTCTCATCCAATGTGCTATGCGGTATAATACTTCGTGTGTATAACCTAATGATTGCTGTCGCTCTTGCGTGATTGCAATATGCGAATTGTAGATACCTAGCTGCTTACTTCTCTTCGGATGGGCAACCAATGGAAGCGTAGCTCACGTTAAATTGTACCGGACAGAACGCATCACTACTCAAGGCTAAGGACGCTAGACTATAGTTGGAATAGTAGACACGAAGTAGAACATTTAAAGGCGGTATTTTCTTTGAGAAACTTAGCACGTGATATTTATCGACATCTCAGCGACATAACACGAAATAAAGAACAAAAGCGCTCATACAATTCTACTTTTGAATGCCTAAATGAGAAGTCGGACCCGACTTGCGATAGCTTAAATGGCAGAAACTAATTTTAATTAGATTACACTTCACCGATTACAACTATTTAAAAAAGCTTTTGAATAATGGAGGATAATAATTCAATTCTATAATTGCATATATTGATTTTCAGGTCATGGTGAGTATCTGTAGTTCAGTCGGAGGATTTAGGTATTTTGCTCTTTTAGTTTCAATAAAACGAGAATCTATGCAGTCATCAGAATTTTAAAACTTCACTTCCTTTCGAAGCATGTGCTGATGCTGTTGTCTAGATAGACGATGAAAGTTGTAGGACTAAACCATTGTGCCCATAGAACGCAACACCCTAAAAATATATTCTGAGAAATAACTCATGTATCACTGGAAATGGATAATTGGTTTATGATTTAATTATAGTGTACTGTGCTCAGCTATAATTTAGGATAAGTTTTCCTACAATGTACTAGATATCTTACATTCTGGAAAACAGTAAGAATAGAGAAAATTTTCCAAGATACAAGTACATGGAAAGTAAATGTAGACCAGTAAAAATCAGGTGAGAGCCAATGCATCGTCAACTGGTTTGTATTTCACCTATTCTTTGTCAAATGATTACTATATCCAAATGACAAACCTGTTAACTGTTGATGAATGCAGAAAAGCGATATCGTTGGTGGACGAATCAATAGATGTCGTTTGGATAAGGAGTTATGATAGCGAAAAGTAACTGTGTTACCGTTAGGAATTCCACGTCTGTTACTAAACTGAAACAACGTAGGAAAATGACTCAGTGGTAAGTTGTATTTTTCTTACTTGGAATATTATGGTCAAAAAATCAGGTAGAGACAAACGGAGAACGTGGCACGAATATGGACTCACTGAAGTTCCCACATATCATATCAAAACAGGGAAACAAAATTAAGAAATTGAGCTTTAAGGGTAATTAGACTCATTATGAAAGATCCAATATCAAATGCATTATCAATGACGGGCTACGGCCCATGTACTCAATATAATTAGATAAAACGGTTGGTTGGTAGTTGAGAGGTTTGTGGTTGACAATTTCACATGAGTATTAGTAATCTCCTAGACTATCATTATCTATCATAATTTACGTAGTGTTGGATATACTCTAGTACTCTTAGTGACTTGAGCGTAACCTGTATATTACGTCAACACGGAATGAAAATTGCTCTTGGGAAAAATTTATCCCAGGAAGGCCAAACACTGACGAGTAACAAAATTTTTACACGAAACGAAAATAGAAACCTTCACAGCTTGCATTTGAAATTGATAGGTTTCATATTTTGATGATCCAGTAGGGCTATTTTGTGTCAAGTCTTAAAACGGCCAAATAACTGGTCTCATTAGTTCTAAACATTATAGTCGACTCCGAGGATCCAGATACAAAAACGTCGAGGTCAGTAATTCCTTATACGGTAAACAAGAAAACTAGACTAAAGAGGAATTACGACTAAACGACCAAGCCTTTACTCATCTTAATGGATTTTAGAAGCGTGCACGGAGCTGAAACAAAACAGCCAGGAGTTTGTACACTGATCGCTCTTAGCGATAACCAAGGCACTCATGAGTGAACATTAGTGACCAGTAATACTGGCCAAACGCTTGGACGACCAAAAATAGTTGAGTAACAGCAGAAGTCAGTCATATGCAATGTAGAGCCTCGAACAAATTGTGCATCAGCTCAAGTCACTATCATATATCAGAAGTTCACCGAACATGTCGATAAAGACAAGCAAGCTAAGAATATTTGCTAAGTGATACTTGTAGAGAACCACCCCTATAGTCTAATAACTATTTTGAAGCCACATAAGTAATTGAAGAGATTGATCAGCTGATGAGATCGCAAACCTGAATATTGTAGGATGGTTAAGACTCATGCTACTTACCTCAGCTAACTTCTAACTAGAGATTGACTAGTCTTGGTGAAATTTATTGCCTTTAAACAACATTTCTGATACGCGGAGACTAGCAAGCAACGATATTATGTTTCATTACAAATAAAAAGTTTAGGAAATTATCTGGAAAGTATATTGCGTACAATTATTTTAATATGACGCACACATGCAGGAAAATGATTAATCAATGACTTGATTTGACAAAAAATAAAATGTTATTTTATAGATTTTCAGACATTTCTAAGTTGCGTGCGTGAAAAGAGGAAAGTAAAGAAGTGCAACCATAGGTCCACTAAAAAAGACGACTACACACATACACATCTTTTAAGTGATGCTTCCACAAAGTATTTAGACAATTATAGTTGAATAAAACGAATTTCAGCTGGAAGGTTACATCTATTAATATAAATGACAAGAATTTCTGTGATTAAGAGGGTAAGGAACGGAACATGACTAAATTGAAGTACATACGATGAAACTAAAAGAACTGAAAAAGTGTTTGTGATAAAGTCCCATCATTTGAATAATCAATTATATAAGTTAACCTAATCATCAAAGTGTGTAATACTTGGCACCATAACTATTGGCTTAGTTTCTGCATCTTCTAGTTTGACAACACGAAGTGTGTTCGTAGAACCGGAACCAGCTTTCCAACCAGTTACAATTATTACGAAGCACCCAGGCGAGAAAAATGAACGCTTTCTACCATAATCAATAGCATAACGAATTCTACGGTCCATATCTTCGTACCATTCTCCAGCTCGTGGTTCTGTAAAATACATGAAATAAAAAGTTAAAATCGGGTAAATTTACTGTCATTGCACACAATAAATTTAGTTGAATATTTGATAATTTAATAAAATGTTTCTGATTGTTTATATACAACTTACCACCATAATACAGAGGATGAACGCCACGATAAAGGTGAATTTGACGAGCAATATATTCATGACGTGTCACAGTGAGGATTGGGCAACGAGGTCTATGACGTGAGATCAGTTGGCATGAACTAACATATAGAAGAGAATTAATCAAAACGAATGTTAAATATACATAATCAAGAAACATATATCGATATTGTATAGTACCCTTTAAAGCATCAAAAAACAGGGTACATATAAGTGCCTTCTTCATTTCGTTAATCATTCTAATCTAAATGATACAACTTACACCTGAAACTCCTCGTGAAGGAGCATAGGCCGCTCACCAGCATTCTCCATCCAACCCTGTCCTGGGCAAACCTTTCTAGCTCCTTCCAGTTGTTATTCATTCTTCTAATACCTGCTTCTATTTCCCGACGTAATGTGTTCTTTGGCCTTCCTCTTTTCCGCTTCCCTTCAGGATTCCAAGTTAGGGCTTGTCTCGTGATGCAGTTTGATGATTTGCATAATGTATGTCCTATCCGTTTCCATCATCTTTTCCTAATTTCTTCTTCAAATGGAAGCTGGTTTGTTCTCTCCTACAGTAGGCTGTTGCTGATGGTATCCGGCCAATGGATGTTGAGTACCTTGCGAAAACAGCTATTTATAAATCCTTGTACCTTCTTGATGGCGGTTGTTGTAGTTCTCCAAGTTTCAGCTCCGTACAGTAGAACTGACTGTTTTGACGTTCGTATTGAAGATTGTGACTTTGATATTGGTTGACAGACAGATGTCTTGAGTTCCATATGTTCTTCAATTGTAGGAATGAGGCCCTTGCCTTGCCAATCCTCGCCTTTACGTCTGCACCTGAACCTCCTTGTTCATCGATGATGCTTCCCAAGTATGTGAAGGATTCTACATCTTCCCGAGTTTCGCCATCAAGAGTGATTGGACTGCTGTTCTCAGTTTTGAATTTGAGGACCTTGGTTTTCTCCTTGTATATGTTGAAGCCTACCGATGCAGAGACTGCTACTACACTGGCTGTCTTTATCTGCATTTGTTCGTGTGTATTGGATACGAGGGCTAGGTCATCTGCGATGTCCGAATCGTCTAATTGGTTCTGAGTTGTCCATTGTATTTCGTATTTTCCCTCAGATGTCGAGGTTTTCATAATCTAGTCAACCATCAGAAGAAAGGGTAAGGGAGAGAGTAGACAGCCTTGTTTGACTCTGGTCCTTACTTGGAATGCATCTGTCAGCTGTCATCTATGCACGACTTTGCACTGTAGTCCGTCGTATGAGTTCCGGATAATGTTGACAATCTTCTCAGGAACTCCATAGTGTCGAAGTAGTTTCCATAATGTCCTCCTATCTACAAATGATACAACACTCGATGAAAACAATTATCATAGGTTTTCTAATTAACAAGCAGCCAGCAGATTAGGTAACGCGAACAATTAATTACATGTATTTCACAAATAAATCCTATTTTTTTTAATAAACTATATTTTCCCGATGAACACGCTCGTTATTTTAAATAATTAACTTTTATTGTCGCAGGACATTTAAACGTGGTCCTGAAAATGTCAACATTTGTTAAGATTTCTAAGTCCTTGAAATTGTCGAAGAATGATTTTGACATATAAGAATATTCAATGTTTATTTTAATCTCAACCATGCGAGTTTTATTGGTTCATCATTTTTGTGACCAAATATTTACATTTATTGTTGTATATTCTTTGGCTTCACGCAGGTCGTCAGCACTTGTCGCTCCTCCCAAATCTTAAATAGAAGGTGAAGCATGTTTGCAGTTACTTCGGTGCTTCAGATGGTATATTGTCAGGTCCTGCTGCTTTCCTGCTCTTGATTTGTCTGATGGCCATCCTGATTTCTTCGGTCGTTGGTGGAGTGACATCTATAGAAAGGTCTGTGTGTGTTGTTTCGATGTCCGCTGGATTCAATGAAGCTGGTCTATTCAAGAGTTCCTCAAAGTATTCTACTCATCTGTTCCTCTGTTCTTGAATTCCAGTGATTGGCCTGCCTTCTTTGTCCTTGACCGATCTCTTTGGTTTACTATATCTCCCTGCCAGTTTCTTCGTTGTATCATAAAGCTGTTTCATTTATTGTTGTATATTCTTTGGCTTCACGCAGTTCGCGATGTCCTCTCTTCAAGTTGGTTATTTAGATGTTTCAAGTTTTAACAACTAATTCCATCTAGTTTGTTGATTTTTTTCCATCGAATTATTTGTTGAACGTCTATTATTAAAGACATAAATTTCATGCAGCTTGATGAAGCTCAGTGCTTTTAATATATTAAAGTATTTCCGAGTATTTCATTCACTGTCTTCTAAATAAATTAGAATAGCAGTATATTTTAGACCAGTTTTAATTTTAATAGAAACGAGAATGTGTGTAGTCATTGATTCATTTTATGTAAGATAAAAACATACTTACCGGCCAGATGTTGTAATCACAATGATAGCGGCAGCATTACAACGACTAGCAGCTTCTACTGCAGCAATTGCAGTGGTGTGAGCCATTTCAGTTGGACCATATAAAGAAGACTTTAAATCTTCAAACAATTGTCCATGAAACATTGCTGCCTCAGCCTGTACACATATACGGTGCATAGTTTGTACAGCCTCTAATGGATATAATCCTTTGGCCGTTTCTCCTGAATTATAAAATATAAAATAAGTTGAAAAATGAACAATTTATTTTGGTTGATTGATAATTAAAAACCTGATAATAACCTATGAATATTGCTGTGAATAGAAAAAAGGTAGATTATGATTGAAATTCATCTGCTCGTCAATTAAATGTTACTGCTTTTATATGTGTAATTTATAACTTATGTAATCAGATTTCTGCTGTTTCTCAGACGTCACCACTTCTCTAGTACTGGGCTAAAATGATTAGATAGAAAAATCAAAATGGATGAAACAATTTTCTAGAAAACAAAAAAAAAGATAGAACACTATCCAAACGAAATATAGGTGGAGATTGATTCAATTTGGCAGGTAAAAATCTGATGAGGTGAGCAATGAAACCCCTTGTTCAAATTTACCTCAAGCGGTTGACATTTAAAAAACCTTTTGGTGTAAAGGTTTAGCAAGTAGACTTTAGTGAAATGCAATTAATTTAATATCCATGGCTTAGTGGTTAAGATGTTCAACTTCAAACTACTAAGACCAAGGTTTGAACTCGGCTCTGACTACTTTGGTTTCGACAACTAGGGTAGGTATCATTAGCTCTTACACTTAGATTGTGGTTAATACCCAAGTGCCTACCTGTCAAATGAGTTTTTACATTAAATGATGCGTAATTTGGACTGGAACTCTTGTTGATCAATGCATGATTTGATATTTAAATGCCCACTGACCAAATAGATATTTTATTCAATAGAAGTATTGCATGACTTTACGATATCAGCTGGAATATGAACAAGTATTTTCTATTTGTATGGTTTTTAAAAACATTTAGCCCACCAGTGGACAAGACGGAGCTTGGTTTCAGTGTGTGAATCTGCAGGGACACAGAGTATCCAAGAATTTTGAGAAAAATAGTACGAAAACGTGTAATATTTGAAGTGCATAGTTATGGTTTGATGAGTAGGTAACGTCGAAAATGTAAAATATTATGAAATCGAAACCAACCTGAAAGCATAACACAGTCTGCACCATCAAGTACGGCATTAGCAACGTCACTTGATTCAGCACGTGTTGGACGAGGCTTAGTAGTCATTGACTCCAACATTTGTGTGGCACATATCACAGGCTTCCCAACCTGATTACAGCGACCAATCATCATCTTTTGTGCTATGAAAACCTTTTCAGCAGGGATTTCTATCCCTAGATCACCACGAGCAACCATAATTCCATCAGCAGCATCAAGGATTTCATTAAACCTGAAAATGGAAAGGACATTTTAGTCAAGATATTGGAAGGCAGAAAGGTGTAAAGACATTGTCAAGATCCCGATAACAAGTTGATAAATCGTTTCATCTGAGAGATAATCATAAGATGGGATATGAAAAAAATTATTTGGAATGCTGTACAGTAATACTATTTTGTTGAAAAGACCAACTTCCCAAAACATAAGAACCCAGAGATACGATAAGTATGAATATGATGTCATCAAATCGAAAACGGGAAGAAAAGAAAAGAACCGCATAAGGATACCTTATATTGAATATACTCTAATAAATTTGTTTAATCAATAGATAATAGTATAGAGCAAAAGACCACAATGGATAACTTATAAGCTACGAATTTTAGCTAATCTTCAGGTTTACAACTTGAACTCAGAAAGTCACTAGTTCTAAAGAGCAAGACGCGCAAGATTAGTAGGAAAGGACGTTAATTACTCCATGCTTTCCCTCAGATGTCGAGGTCTTCGTAATCCAGTCAATCAACAGAAGAAAGAGAAAGGGTGGGAGTAGGCAGCTTTGTCTGACTCCGGTTCTCACTCGGAACGATTCTGTCAGCTGTCCCCCATGCAACACTTTCCAGTGTAGTCCGTTGTATGAAATCCCTATGATGTGGACGATCTCCCCAGATACACCATACTGTCGAAGAAGGTTTCACTAAGTTCCTCTATCCACACTCAAACGCTTGCCCATAATCAAAGAAGTTGGTGTCCAGTGATGATTTCCATTCAAGTGACTGTTCAACGATAATCAGTAGTGTTGCCATTTGGTCCGTACACAACTGATCCTTACGGAATCCGGTCTGTTGACCTCGAAGTTCGGTGTTCATTGAATCGTTCATTCAGTTCTACAAAACTTGGTTGAAAACTTTTCATGTCACAGATAGTAGTGTGATGCCTCTGTAGTTCTCACACATGCTCGGATCTCGCTTATTTGTTATCTTAATGAGATATCGTTCATTCCAGTTTGTCGTCACTTGTTCTTTCTCTTAAATCTTCCTGAATAGGACATGGAGCATGCATGCAGTCACTTCTATGTCTGACCTTACTGCTTCGGATGGTATGTTGTCTGGTTCTGCTGCTTTCCCACTCTTGACTTGCCTGATGATCATGATGTTTTCTTCGATTGTTGGTTCGATAACATCTATGGGAATATCTCTGTGTGTTGCTTCGATGTCCGGTCGTGGTTCAGTGGAGCTGGTCCATTCAAGAGTTTCTTCAAAGTGCTTTACCCATCCGTCCCGCTGTTCTTCAATATCTCTACTTGTCTTTCATAGTATTATTCTCTTCTTCGAGTGGATCTTGTAAGGCGTTGAACCTGTTGTTGAGATCTATATTGAATTCGTTGAATTTGTCAGTATGTCGAAGGAAGACTGTATTGAACCTTTGTAATGCTGTTTGTCCAGTTGTCCATTGCTTCGTTAGCTCAAGTTTCATCTTGGCAATCACCAGATAGATGGTGATCTGAAGCTTTGATGATATTGAATCCGTGAGATTCCTATCGTATAAGTACACTTGGTGCTTCTTCGGACAGTATCAGAGCAACTCCTTTAGTGTGTGGAACATTTTCTTCTGCGTGATCGGAGTACAACAACATCCCTCCTGTACCCAACCTCTGCTGTCCAGCTTGGATACAATGAGTTGCACGGATTCCGAAAACCGTCAAGCTGTATGTTCTCATTTCTGCAGCTATTTGACTTGTCGTTCCGGTCTCCCATATTGTCCGGACACTTCATGTATCCATAAGAATTGTTGCGAATGTCTGGCACTTTAACCTGGTTTGTGGACATGGAGAGTCCACCTAGGGAAGTTGGAAAACCCTTATTCCAAACCAATGGTGTACATGGGCTTCATTATCCTGAAGGAACAAATGGCGTATGAACCAATCGTTGGTCACCGGCTACCACGGGACTGCATCTCCTTACGATGCTCCACTTCCTTGTGGATCAGACCTTCAGGTTGAGGCTCCGGGTGTGGCCCCTAAGAAAACCATCTGCTTCGGTTTGGGCACCCGAGCAGTATCACAGCCCTCACACATATCGAATGAGATCTGTGTAGCGCATATTTGTATTTGGTGCCTCCCTGTACCAATATCTATGTGTTAAAATAATAAAGTAAATACTTTTAGCTTCTGGATGATGACTTTCGTAGTTCTGCAAGTTTCCACCCCCATACAGTACAACTGTCTTCACATTTGTGTCGAGAATTCTGACCTTGGTGTTGGTTGACAGATGTTTTGAGTTTCAGATGTTCTTTAACTGTAGATATGCTGCTCTGGCTTTGCCGATCCGCGCCTTCACATCTGTATCAGCTCTACCGTGTTCATCAATGATACTACCCAGATATGTAAAGGTTTTTACATCCTCCAAAGCTTCGTCAAGTGGGATCTGGTGTATGTTGTGTTGTATCGGAGAATCTTGCTTTTCCCTTTGTGTATGTTGAGACTTACTGCTGCTACACTGGACTAGAACCGTACAATTGTATTTATAAATATTTTGCTCATAACTGTTTGCAAGAAAATAAGACGTAGCAAACACATCGCAATGTCAAAGTGGATAGCTGCCATTTAAATCTTTTCTCGATACCTTATTTTATAAGCTGTTTTTGATACTTGTTCGTCTCCTCTTCGACCATTATGTAGTGTTTGAAAATTTTTAGATTAAGGTTTGGTGCATTTGTCAATGATGTAATAGTTCCCCATTTTATTATGAACCATTGTGTTTGAAATATTTATAAATACTATTGTACAGTCATATTAAATGACAATAACGGAAAGAAAACATCTGAATTATGTCCACTTTGCTTGATAAAACAAATGATTGGATAATTACAGTAATCATTACTTTTTTGTATAAAACTATCTATATCAAACAGATTAAGTGTTCAGTGTTAAAAATAAAAAAATAAAAATGTGAATAGATTGCTGGAGAAATTCATGATTATTATTTTAAAAATTTATCTGGATAATAAAATAATCTCACCATATTACTAGGAGTTATATTATTATCCAATGCGTTTGTTTTTATTATCTAGGTGATAAAGTATTCGCATTTTATTTATTTTCCTAAAAATTGTTTAATTATAGTATGCAATGAAATCTGGCTATGTATAAACTAATATATTTGCATGTTCGAAACTATTTGTTTTACTGTGATGAAAGGTTTTTGACAAAATTTTCATAAATGGACCACATGATATAATGAAAACTAATGGAAGTAGATAGATTTAAGATATGATGTTCTGATTATGTAGTCATTTCACTACTGTGTAACTCAATAATCTTTTTTTTATTAACATATTGTAGTAGGAGTTTAGATGGAGTAACGAAATGATGACATCCGCTTTAATGCTGTTTTAAATTATTAGCACTTTATCAGAAACTTAGCAGAAGCAAATCCTAGCAGTGGAATTATGTTACATCAAGTTTCTTAGATCAATACAATCACATGGCTATAATTATGATAGTTTTATAATTCAATACTAAAATTTTTCCTATCCTAAAGTCATCGAACAAATAACTCATGTAGTACAATCAAATGCTACTCTAACAGTAACATCAAAACATCTACATTATGTATATTCTGTATCCCTCAAATAGTTGAGTAATATCTACACTAAATAATTTTCTATAATGGTTTGGGTGGTAAATTGTAATCTATATTTGATTGCCGTAGCGTATGTGAGTTTAGATACTTTTGGAACGGTTTTCGTTTACTATATATATTTGTGCACGAAAGACTGAGGAACTTACCGTTGGACGCCTTCATGATTTTCGATTTTAGCGATGATTTTGATGTGGGAACCATTATCACCGAGAAGTTGACGGATCTGGTGTACAGCATCAGCATTCCGAATGAAAGAGGCAAACACCATGTCAACCTTGAAAAGGTTTAATCGGCAATTTATGAAATGACGAAACAGAGAAGACAGAATTTATAAGTTGTATGTAGTAACTTGTCATATGTAATATAATATTAACGTTTTTGAGAAACTATATATCACCTAACTAACTTTTAAGTGGTTCTTTTATGCTCCATAAAAGCGTATTTGTGCAATATTAGGATACAGAACAAGTTACGTTATTGAAAAACAATATGCAGGACAGGAATGTTTGTACTTCGGCATCACATTCAAATCAAATTTACCGAAAAAAAAGCAGTGTACATTTGATAATCTATGTGGAACTGACAGTAAGATTAGTTTGTTAACGAAAAATTAAAACATTATACGATTGAAAAGATGAATATGCAGTTAATATTGAGTAAGAACCTACGTTATGCTCAACTGCAAAACGGAGATCTTGTTTGTCTTTTTCTGATACTGCATCTAAATCGACATGGGCTCCTGGGAGATTAACTCCTTTACGAGACCCTAGCTTTCCACCATTTTCAACTTCGCATTCAAGGTAATCAGGACCTGAAATTAAAGGAAAAAATATACAGGCACAAATCATATTATGTACCAATCTAAGTATACGGATATTTTACAAATTCTTTTTTTTGAGTAGTTCTCTTACTGCATAACGTACACTTAAGTGGAAGCAGAGAATATGTTTGATATTTACCTATGATAGTTATGCCATTGTAAATCTGTCTACAATCTCGTCTGTGAACTTGCTTAAATACTTCGGTCAAGATATGGTATGCGTCGGAAGAGCTTAAATAATAACAAAAAACGTCCTGCTTGGAAACTGTGGAATGAAGCACGGATTGATATGAGTTTGTTTTGGGGAGATGATTGCTGACTAATTCACAGAGTTGAACAAAGGATATTCTGAATTGTAATATTGGGTCGTTTGGTCGGGTGGTCATAGTATTTATTATATCATCAACTTTGATATTGACTATCGAAGGAACTAAGTTGTAGAATTTAATAAAATTGGCTTTCAGTTCACTCAACGGTTATCATTAACCATCAAAACTAAGTTTTATATGTAAGTAATCATACGTACCTATGATTTTAAGGCTAGGTAACGAATTTAACGTTTGACTAGAAATAATACAAAATGAATCAACACAAAAAATATATGCGGAATCAACAGACACATTTGACATGAAGTGGAACCAGAAGATCACTTACCTTTATCCAAAACCACTAAGCTTATTAAACCATCATCAACGAAAATCTTTGATCCTTTAGACAAAACATGTACAATATTTCGGTAATCCACATACAGAATAGACTCATCACACGCTTCCATGTATGCGCAATCAGTAGTTACACGGATTTTATGACCAACTTGAAGATTGACTTCAGCGGTCCCACTCTACAAGAGAGAATGCAAAAATATGTTAAGTACTTACTATATAGTGTATAACAAAAAGATATACGTGCAGCAAAAAGGTGGTTAACAATCATTTTAATTTCAAGTGGACTCAGCAACCTTAATAAATAGTTAACATTTGAGTTACCTAAATAATTCGATTGCGTCATACCTCTTGTTATGCTCTATATTTTCTTTACATAGAAGGAAATGAATTAATCTTACGAGATAGTGCTGGAAACAATACTTACATATTGACTTTAATGTTCATTAATAAAGGAGAAAAATCATCTCAAGTGTTTATAACTATATGTAATAACAGTCAAATAATTTCACGTAGAACTGTGAGTTTTGCTCATAACTCTAATTGTTTTCATACGTTTTCCTAATAACATTGAATGACGGTAACGAACCCGGTTGTAGATACTTGAGTAAATAGACAACAGAAACTGTTAGAAATAAATAGAAACGTAATGCCTATCGTGTAACACTTAAATTTTTGAGTAAGTAGAAGATTTGAACAGTTGGAAAGAGATAAAGCGATGTTTCACAATTGTGGTCAACATTAACCTTACCCCGTTAATAAGGCCAGTACGAATTTCAGGTCCCTTGGTGTCCAAAGCAATCCCTATTGGTCGAGGGAACGGTTTTAAAGTTGCGGCAGCCTCTCGGACCAACTCAATGGTTTTCGCATGATATTCGTGACTGCCGTGAGAGAAATTCAGACGGGCAATATTCATTCCAGATGTCATCATATTCTGTAGTATCTCGACAGTGCGACAAGCAGGACCTAGTTTACAAAATAAGCAGAAAAGTAAAGTCAAATATCTTTAGAATCAAATGTACACATAAACTCATTTGTCAGTCTTATAGAATTAGTGAGTAACAATAACGCCTGAACTAATATACAGGAGGAAAAGAAATCATCCTGAAAAATTCACATCGTTGCACGAAATTCAACAACTGATGAATAATGGTACTCTTTTGATAGTTATGCTTATTTTCGTTATGCTTGAAGTCAATTGAATAAATAACAGGCGTTCATCCAAATTACTGAACTCTTATTGTTTGTATAATTTCAAAGATTAAAATTTGGTACGTTTCATTTACCATAACAGTGGACTCAGTTTTATGAACTGCACGATAACCACAGACAGAATAGTCGATTTTACGCACCAGCTCGTTCTCGTTGCCCGAAGCAACAAATCTCACTGACTACCTGAAAAAAAACGATTACTTTCCGGTATGTATACAAATAATTAAGAATAGTTTGGCAGCTTAGTTTTTACACTTAGTATTCAAGGTGAGGGTTAATGGAGCCCTCTCCTCGTCGGTACCTGTAAAAAGTGGAGTTCCCAATGTATAATCCTTGGTCCCCTTCTCTTTTTACTTATGTTAATGAATTACCAACTGTAGCAAAACTATCCGTTCTACTCTTCGCTGACGACATAAAAATCTGGAGACCCATACACAGTATGTCGGATAGAATAGTATTACAGGATGGTCTTAGCTCATTGGTGGAATGGTTGGACAGGTGTTCACTAGAAGTAAATTCTAATAAGAGTGTGGTGATACAATTAAATAACTATGATGAATCGTATCATCATACAATATGTGGATTCGCGCTACCCAAAGTAAGACACTATAAAGATTTAGGAGTCATATTAAGCAGTGATTTCAAAACCACTAGTCACTGTTAGGCTGCTGCTGCGAAAGGCTATAGGGTATTATGGTCTATTCGTAGGTCTTTCCAGTATTTAGACGATGAAATGTCTAGATTATTATACCCGATTTATGTGCGACCATATTTAGAATATGGGATTCAAGCAGCGAGTCGTTGTTTCAATTATGAAGCAGATATGCTGGAAAGAGTCTAACGACGAGGTACCAAGATGGCTAAAGGTCTATCTGGCCTATCCTATGAAGACAGACTGAGACACCTTAACTTATTCCCGTTATCTTACCGTAGAATACAGAGTGACCTAATATTGGCTTGTCGTATACTGAACGATGACCTTGGTATTACCATGTCTTATCTTTTACTTCCGTCTATGATTGATCATTTGAGAGGACATTCGGAGAAAGTTCAAAAACCGAGATCAAGTCGTTTACGTCTGTAGTTTCGCTTCTCGCACCGAGTAGTGAATGACTGGAATTCTCTACCGGAACACGTAATATCAGCACCTTCAGTTGATATATTCAAAACGAGACTGGACCTCCACAGTATTACAAACTGCAAGGACTAATATAGGTCCATAGACCTATTCTTAATACTGAAGACTGAGATTTAATGGAGGTAAAGGACGTATGGTCTAGTACAATATATCGTCCCAAGATGCCACATTTTGCACTTGGTTATCCAGATAAAATTAAAATAGTCGAGGAAACATGGTGTAGATGGATTCAGAGAGAAACGTTTAGAATATTCATAATCGCTAGGCAGATGGGTAACATCCATAAACCTCACATTGTGTAGTGAACCTTGGACGTAGTTTGCTGGACAGCAGTAACCTGTTCATAGAAAACTGAAAAAGCGATTGTGGAGTGGTACGACTCAAAAGCGTCCTGATGAACTTGCCCAAGCGTAATATGATGGTGGGTATCGCATCTACTTTAACAAAACGGAACCGATTGGTTGGTTTAAACTACTAAGATTGTCTCTACTCAACCTAGTAAAATATCACTATGAAATAAAACTTGAAATCAGAAGAATACAGAAACACTCGTGCACCTAAAATCTAGTTACTTTTCTGATGATCGACAATATTCATATTACAGGAGGACAAAAAGAACTGAATAGCGTTGACCCTAACTATGGACGCAACGCGGTTATTAAGGGAAATATTTATAGATGTACACTAACTGTATTCTTAACAACCAGACCATTTAGGAGTGAATAACTTAATACTTTAAACCCAAGATCACTTATTACTCACAGAGCTGTTTACGAAACAAATTTCTCTTCAAGAAATATTAGAGAGACTTTCGCAGTAGCTTACCGATGGTGCATATTATACCAGTATTTCGGACATATGCGGGTTGATGATCGATATCAAGGCTAACAACATGTTCCAATAACGAACGTGGATATACAGAAAGTGGTGGGTTCTGGTGATACGGAGAGGCCTCACCAAACCTTGAGACCGAAGAAACCCCATGAAATGACTGACTGCCAGTAGACCTAAAATTAAGAGACACTACAATCATTTCTAGCCACAACTTACAAGTTTGAACCTAGCATCACGTAGATAAAGGCCGGGATTCGTAAATACTCCGTAAAGCAAGTGCGAACACAAATCTCAATTGGCTAATTTAAACATATATTGAACATTCACTATATATGAAATCAATCAACAAAGTGAATACAAAAGTCCCTGTTTCACAATGATATCAAGACTAATCGGCTTAAAGAGGTATAGACATGTAGCCAAACCTTCAGTTTCAGTATGAAAAGGACGGGAGGCTTGGTAGCCTGTGTTATTCCTGGCAGTGGTGATCTCTCCGTTGATCTAAATTCCATTAGAAAGCGTTGGCAGATGGAGCTTCAGTCACGGGCTGAGGCAATGAATTCCATTCATTGATGATGCATTGGGAAAGTCGATTGTCAGCTGACAAGTAGTTTGTTCTGGGCTTGTTATCTTAGACAAGGAAAATGAGGGTGTAGCGGTAAATAAATTCCCAAAATAAATAGCACTAAGTTTTCGACATTGGATGCTGACCATATGTTTTAGTGGACTCATCCAGCTGAAGGCGCTCGGTCAGGCATCCACACCAGATCACGTGTGGTAACGCCGTGCTCAACATCTGCCGCAATCGCTAGCCAGATTAGATCAGAGAATTCCGATATATTGGTAATCGCCAAATACACTCTTCCGATCTCCTCGACTCTGTCTTTTAATTGCTCTTGGTGGGTACGAATTATACTAGGTGTTGCTGGTAAAAGCGTTGTCAAACACTGAATACCTGCGTCATCTTCATTGGTGAGACCGACGTGATCTGGTACACATAATTGCAACTGTGAGTCCGTTCCATTTTGGGATCTTTATATATTATTGCCTTATTTTTTTAATTTTTATACATTGTGATATTTTTCCCCGTGTCTCAGGATATCTATATTTTTCCCTCGTATTCTCGTGCTTAATTTTCCCCTATGACTGAACAGACCCCCAAGGTATTTAAGATTAAGGTTATGTCCCCACCCTCGTTCCAACTCATGCCTTTCTGGCCCGACAATATCGAAGCCTGGTTCTGTTACGCAGAAGCCGACTTCCACGAACACGGCGTGAACGACACACGTGCACAATTCCTCGCAGTAGTCAAGGCACTACCGCAGGAATTCAACAGGTACGTAACACCTAGTATGTTTACTAGTGATGTTTCGAAATCTTAAAACGTTCGATTCTCAAACGAGGAGACCTAACCGATCGACAAAGGTTAGGCCAACTCTTTGATAACATAGGCCTGCAACACGGTTCTACGACAGACATGTTGCAAAGGATGAGATAGGTTATAGGCCCAAGAACTTTCGACGAAGGCCTATTCAAACAACTTTTCTTGTCTTAACTTCCCAACAGGTGAAGCGGTTCTGGTCTCGTTTCAGAACAACGCCTTAGACGAACTGGCTGCATCTGTCGATTGTATCTTAGAAATTACGAAATCTTCTACTACCGAGGTATTTTCAGTCAAAGAAAAGCCCCAAACGACTCAGAATGATATAACCGAGTTATGTCATACACTTCACGAATCGGCTTTAAACTTACAGGCGGCAAACGGAAAACCGATCGCTACATATGGCAAAAGGTACGTTTACCTTAACGTGGGTTTACGCAAACCCATTCACTGGATCTTCGTTGTTGCAGATGTTTCTATGCCAATCATTGGTATGGACCTTCTACAACACCATAATCTGATCATCGACACGCGCAAACGGAGGCTAGTAGACGGAAACACTAATTTGTCCGTTTGCGTAACTTCTTTTTCTGGTTGCAGAGTATCCCCAGTCACAATTAAGCATATGATAGACCCACTCTATCAACCACTACTCGATAAGTACCCTGGGATACAACAAACGCAACCGAAACTACCGTGTGTAACCAGCAACGTTACACATCACATCACGACTACAGGACCACCTGTATTTTCTAAAGCACGACGACTAGCTCCTGAAAAGCTAAGGTTAGCGAAAAACGAGTTCGACCACATGATAGACTTAGGAATCATACGACCGTCAAGTAGCCCATATGCATCTCCGTTGCACATGGTCCCTAAAAAGGACAGCAACGATTGGCGTCCAACTGGTGACTATCGGCGATTGAACGCGAAAACCATTCCCGATCGTTACCCGTTGCCTCACATTCACGATTTGACAGCTACCTTGAAAGGTACAACTGTCTTTTCGAAAATCGACTTGGTTAAAGCGTATAACCAAATCCCTATGGCTACTGACGACATACCGAAAACCGCTATCATAACTCCCTTCGGACTCTATGAATTTTTGCGAATGCCTTTCGGTCTAAGGAACGCTGCTCAAACATTCCAAAGATTCATAGACGACGTTTTTCGAGGTCTCAACTTCGTACACGCGTATGTTGACGACTGTCTAATCGCAAGTCCGGACAGAGAAACACATCTCAAGCATCTGGATCTTGTTTTCGAACGATTACAAAAACATGGCATTACTGTAAACGTTCAGAAATGCCAATTCGGAACCGACTCATTAGACTTTCTGGGACACACTATCGATGCTCAAGGTATCCGACCCCTTAGAACCAAAGTGGCGGCCATTCTGGATTACCCAGAACCGACCACCGTCAAGCAATTACGCACGTTTAACGGCCTGGTAAGTTTCTATAGACGTTTCATACCAAATGCGCATTACTTATGAAACCTCTGACCGACCAACTTCGTGGAAATGCGAAATCCATTAATTTGGACGACACCGCACGAAAAGCATTCTCCACAATTAAGGAACTGATCGCTAAAGCAACAATGCTCGCACATCAGGACACCAAGCACCCATTAGCATCGCAGTAGACGCATCCGACTCAGCAATCGGAGGAGTCTTACAACAATGGGTTAACAACTCCTGGCAACCCTTGGCATTTTTCTCTAGAAGGTTGCTAGACACCGAATCGAGGTACAGCACATTCGGTAGGGAACTCCTAGCTATGTATTGTGCTGTACGACATTTTCACTCTTTTCACGGACCATAAACCGCTCACTTTCTCGTTAAGCTCTCCTTCTGACAAGTACTCTCCCCGTGAGTCTCGACAACTGGACTACATTTCGCAGTTTACTTCAGATATTCAACACATCTCTGGAGCAAACAATGTAGTTGCAGACGCCTTATCTCGCATAACTTCCTTGAACAGTTTCCAAGGAATCGACCTTCTTAAACTCGCCGAGCTTCAAAAAGAAGACAGTGATCTTCAGCACGAGTTATCGTCCACAACACTTAAACTACGCATCAAACAGATGGGAACAGGTAAGGAAACCTTACTTTGTGACACATCTACAGGTAGGGATCGCCCAATCGTGCCGAAACATTATCGACGCAATGTCTTCAACACATTGCACAAACTTTCTCATCCAGGTGTTCGTGCAACCATCAAGCTTATAGCAGAACGGTTTTGCTGGCCTGGCATGAATAAAGACGTGAGGGAGTGGGCACGCTCCTGTGTAAGCTGCCAAAAATCTAAGGTTATCAGACACAATAAATGTCCCTTAGGCTCGTTTAAAACTCCCGATGCTCGTTTCGACCATGTTCATCTGGATTTGGTAGGACCTTTACCAGATTCAAATGGATACTCTTACCTCTTAACCTGCGTAGACCGTTTCACTCGATGGCCAGAAGCAGTACCTATCAAGGACATCACTGCTGAAACAGTGGCCCGCACCTTCGTCGAACGATGGGTAGCAAACTTCGGCTGCCCTTCAACCATCACTACAGACCGCGGACGTCAGTTTGAATCTGATCTTTTCCGTCGTCTGACCACACTTTTAGGAATCACTCGCTTCCGAACGACCGCCTACCTCCCACAAGCAAACGGGTTGGTAGAACGCTTTCACCGACAACTAAAAGCTTCACTATCAGCTGCAAACGTTTCACAGTGGACCGACGCTCTTCCACTCGTCTTACTAGGTATCCGCAATGCAGTGAAAGCTGACATTGGATACACTGCGGCTCAACTCGTTTATGGAACGACACTTCGACTTCCAGGAGAATTCGTGGATCCTTCATCCTCTTCAATGAACATGGATCTAACCTCCTACACGAACTGGCTTACAAACGCAATGCGTTCAGCATCAGCATCGATCGCCTCAAAGCAGCGTATTTAGAAGGAAATCCTATTCACGTCGATTTCCCTTCGGTACAATCACACAACACGACTCCTACGCTTATAATACCCCAACCGACAGACAACACAACCGATGATACTTCCACAGTATCAGAAAATAAACTTAAGACGACGAGTTCTGGAAGAAGAAGAATAAGATTTCCAGAACATTTAAACGATTATTGCACGTAAGGCACTACTTGACATTTCATATTATCTCGACTTTTCTTTTTACCATATGTAATATTAAAAAAAGCAATTTTAATATGCTTATATATTTTTATTTCAAAAAAACAAAACAAGAAAAACATTATAAAAATCCATTTTTGTAACCATAATACGTGTATATGAGTTTATTTTTCATTTTTTTCGACGACATTGTGTTTTTACGCCATCCGATAAATGAACAACTCAATATATCAGCGGAGATAATCTCAGATTGATTGAGCAGGGAGTGAATGTGGAGGGAAATTAAAAGCCTAAGGTTGATTTTCATCACAGATAGATGCCAAATGAAACACCATTAAAAACCATGCTGTACTGAACAGAAGTTTGGATGGGCATCATTTCCACAAAGATCACAGGTACACCTTACTTGCGGGTGCCAAATAGCACGAAACTTATGTTCAGAGTGTCCTATCGACTACCTCCAACCAACACCTGATCTCACACAGTGTATGCGATATCGAGTCACCTAGGCTTACGGCCACATCGCAACTTGGCCGATAGAATTTGATCTGCACTAAAATGGACCTGACGAATGACATTATTCACCATGTAGTAATCAATTAATTGTAGATATTTGAAATCTCCGAACACTAAAATGTAATTTTTTTCCAGTATTCGACAGATTCATATATTTATTTAATCACGATAACCTTGATTGTTTGGCTTTAATAAATATTATTGTTGATAAAGAAAAGTCTTCTTAATTGATTTACCATTATTCCTTATTCAATAACACAATGGGTT